GATCTAGACATGTGTGTCCGTCCGTCCGTCCGTCCGTCTGTCCATTATAATTTGTAAACACGATACAGGCCACATTTATGGACCAATCTTCACGAAATTTTGCAGATAGGAAGGGTTCGGCCCAATGAAGACCCCTATTGTTTTTGGTAAAGATCGGTTAATATTTAGGGGATGAAATGGACCAAATACTTAATTTTTGTCGGTTTTTTGGTCGCTCCAGAGGCCGCAATTATGGCCCAAACATCGCGAATTTTTGCATGGAGAAGGGGATTGGGCCAAAGAATAAGCATGCCCATTTTGATAAAGATCAGTCAATATTTAGCGGGTCAAATGGACCCTGACTTTTGCGTGAAAAATGACAAAATGTGTATTCTATAGCGTATATATTTGCCCTTGAAGGACATAGAGCCGAGAAGTTGATAGTATATTCAAGAGGAGTGGCTGACCTTTTAATTGATACTAATTATATTGTCGTATGTACTCGGATGTGGGAGTTACAATCAAATATGTACAGGAGCTTACCTATTCAGATATTATTTAGTAACCCATTACCAAACTGAACGCTTTGAAATTTTCCAAGAAGTTCCAGTTGTGTTCAAGGGCAACGCTTATAATTTTCGGTGATTATCAGATTAAAATTTTGAGATGAAATGGACCGAGAACTTAATTTTTTGCGAATATAATCCGAACATCACAACACAACTTACCGTGAAGGGAATCTGGACAAGTAATTAGAAGGGCTTTTGAATATTCGAAAAAGCAAGGAAAAGTTTCTGTTGACCTCTAACCGGACAAGAGGATGCAATATCACGAAATATTGCCCAGGCTCGGAGTAAACAGAAAGTTAGAATTCCGTGGTAGTTGTGTAGGGTATCGAATGTTCGGCCCTGTCCGACTATACTGCTCCGCTCACTGGTTTTAAAATAGTTTCGTATCCGGAAGTGTGTTTATTTGAAAAGTATTGTTTAAGCACCCACGAACCTAACAGAGGTAGCTATAATTTGACATTTCCATTTTTTGGACGTTAGTGGAACATACTCTGTATAAAACGTTCCATGTAGATCCAAGATGTAATATAGCCTCCTCCCGTATCATTTTCGATATTTTGAAAGTTGTATCCACATTTCCTAACAGAAATATCTTTTATTTGGAACTTCGAATTCTTGGAGATTAAAAGCAACTTAGAGGATATTTTTTGATAGAGGTCTATGTTTTAATAAAACTCTCAAACAGATTCTCGGACCTTTTTCGGCATTTTTAATATCTTAGCTCATTTTCCAGCAGAAGTAACTGTAAATTGTAATGCCGAGGTTTTGAAGAATGAAAAACATTTCTGGAGAAATTCAATATAGTTCCATGTTCTGCCGCCCCATTGTCGGTATTTCGAAGATTTTCGAGGCATTTGCAAACATAAGTGGCTGTAATTTGGCATTCCGGTTTCTTGGTGGTTGAAAATATTTAAGCAGAAAAATGTCCACATTGTCCATGTTTTACTTTGAAGATTTTAGTCTCCATAAACAGATTCCGCATTTTTATGTTCTTAAGGTTTTATCCACATATTCTTACAGGAACTCTTGGAGGTTGAATATATTTTAGCAGACAATTGTCGATATGATCCATGTTTTATTTTGAAAGATTTAGCTGCATTCTCCACTGATGTTTTTTGCAGTTTGGTATTCAGGATTCCTGAAGGAAAAAAACTTTAGATATTATTTTGAGATCATTTTCGATATGGGTCCATACCTGGACATAGCCCCCATAACCAAGTTTCTGCCATTTATTTTGTATTTTAAAGCTTTTAACCGTATTTTCTTACAGGAGTGGCATTAATTTGGCATCAGGTTGAGCATAGTTTTGCAGAAAATTGTCGAAGTTTTTAATTTTGACGTTTTTAGCTGTCTTTTCTCGCCAAAATGGCGTTCACGGTTCCTTGAACAATAAAAACATATCTGCCGATAATATTCATTATAGGACCATAATTTGACATCGCTCCTATACAAAGGTTACGTTTTTTTGTATTTTAAAGGTTTTAGCTGCCTTTTCCCACCGAAGTAGCTGCAGTTTTCCATTCAGGGTTCCTGAAGAAAGAAAAACACATCTGCAGATAATTTTCGATAAGAGACCCCTTTTAAGTATTTTAAAGTTTTTGCAGTATAATTATGTTTATGATTTTTCGACCTTTCGAATGTTTAATAAATTATAGATGGATACAAATATTGACATCAAGCTCGATCAGCTGTCTATAAGTTTTTGCAGTATTTTCTTGTAAATGTACAATTTCTTCCCATGTTTTTACATATCAACTATACCGAGGACATGTAAAATTGTTGAAATGTTCAAAATCTGTCTTATATCAATAGATTGTGTTTCGTCTACCAGCCTTCTGTATATAAAAAGGCCTCCATATAGAGAAGTCATTTTATTTACAAATTATCAGGCTTCCATCTATTGATGATATACCTTCTACAAATAAAAGATAAGCCTTTTATTTGTAGAAGGTCAACCTACTATCTATAGGTAGGTAGACTGTAGATAACCGGTCTTTCGCATGTAGAAGGCAAGCCATACATTTATTGAAAGTCAGCCTTCCATCTCAGCCTTTTTACGGCCAGCCAAGTTCAAAGCTGTCCGTTGACCTACTTAGCACCAGCCATTGATCTATAGAACTCCTGACTTTCGAGCTAAAGAAAAGTCAGCATTCTTTTCATAGAAGGTAAGCTTTCCACATTAGCCTTTTATTAAAAAAAACTCTGCCTTCTGTCTATAGAAGTTCAGCTTTTCGTCAGTAGAATATGAACCTGTGACCTACAGAAGGTCAGCATCCCATCTCAGCTTTTGTTATATTTATAGAATACCAGAATAGAATACCCTTATATTTATAGAATACCAGAATTCCATTTATATTTTTTCAATGACTATTAGAGGCTAGGATTTTTTAAAGAATATTTTTCCATCATTATTATTAAAGAACATTTTCACAACGACTACCTGAGGCGTAGATTTTTTAAAGAATATTTTCACAACGGCTACCTGAGGCGTAGATTTTTTAAAAATATTTTTTTTAAATACTATTTGAGGTGTGGATCTATGGGAGACCTGGCATCTAACCACCCTTCTATTTATAGAAGTCCAGACTTCTTCAAGGACTATTATAGGTGTGGATTTTTTAAAGAATAGTCAGCCTACCATCTATGGGAGACCTGACATCTAACCACCCTTCCATTCATAGAAGTCCTAACTTACATCTATTTTCTGAAAGTTTAAACTTATGAAGAGACTTTAAAAAATTTTAGAAAAACAGTTTGTGTGCATAACTGTGATAATCCTGCATCCATTGTCATTTCGTTACATTTTGAAAAGTAATAATATTACCATGGTATTTTATAAAATTGTTCTCATATTTTTTGTATTGCAAATTTTCACATTTTCAGTTTTTCACTTTTGTTGTGTATTTACCTCCAAAAGGCATTATTATCATCGTCAATATTAACGTGACTTTCATTAAAATATGTAATTATGTGCAAAAACAAACAAAAGGACATTCCGTTGTTGTCCTGGTAGCAGTAGAGAGAGGATTTCAACTTTTTGCTTTAATACATGTTAACATGTAATTAAGGTATATGAAATCAGATTATCATTATGTAAATGAAATTATATTTAATAAAATTTAACAATTTTTAATTATTATCGATGCAAAAAAAAAAACAAAAGCAAAAAAATGTTTACTGAAAAGCTTTTTTAATTTTTCGTTTTGTAATTCAATTTTCATGAAATGTGAAGCGGTGAGACATATTAAAATTTTTGGGGAAAATTCATATATTACAATTTTAATGAAATAATTGAAAGTGACATATGTGGTGACTTGGGATATAAATTTAATTTTGTCTATTAAAATTAAAATATATATTTTTTAAATGTCTTAAAAACAAAGGCGAACACAGATTTGATAAAAATGAATGCCAAACTAGAGTTAATATTTTTTAATAAATAAAAATAGATTTTATAATAAAACAAATAAAACAAAAAGACCCTTATACATTTAAGTAATGGATTACTAAATAATATCTGAATACATAAGCACCTGTAAATATTTACGTGTAACTCCCACATCTGATTACATACGACCATATTGGTATCAATTTAAAGGTCAACCACTCCTCCTCAACATATGGTCAACTTCCCGGATCTAGGTTCTTCAGGGGCAAGTATATACGCCATAAAATACAAATTTTGTAATTTTTCATACAAAAGTCAGGATCCATTTGACCCGCTAAATATTGACTAATCCTTATCAAAACAGGCATGCTTATTCTTTGGCCCTTCTCCATGCAAAATTTCGCGATGTTCGGCCTCTGGAGCGACCGGAAAAACGGACAAAAATTAAGTATTTGGTCCATTTCATCCCCTAAATATTAACCGATCTTTACAAAAAACAATAGGGGTCTTCATTGGCCAGAACCCATCATACATTTCGTGGTCCATAACTGTGGCCAGTATCGTGTTTACAAATTATAATGGACAGACGGACGCACTGACACACATGTCTAGATCGACTCAGCTAGTCGAGATATGACGATCTGAATACTTAAAGATGGGTCTAGGACCAATATTTCGCGGCGTTACAAATTCTTGGGGCTGCACAAAGCTATAATACCCTGACAACATAGTTGTGTAGGGTTTAAATTATTGGAAGGAATCAAGTTGTAATATTTTTACAATTATCATGATTTATACCTTTTTAGGCCGAAATGATCGTTGGTAGTTTTTCGGTCAACAACTGATATGTTATAGAGAACCTGAGCTTTATTATATTGAAGGTTTTTATTATAAGTATCCCCTTTTTTAAGGAACAGATTTCCAGTACAATCATTAAATTTAAAGAATCTCATGCGAACATACATACACATCCTTTACTGCGACAACTATTTTCCTTACTTTAAAAAAGTACTTATAAAATATTAATTATTTTATTTCCCTTTATTTCTTCTTTTTAATTTTAGGCTATGGTATTACCGCCATTGGCTAAATGGCCTTATGAAAATGGTTTTACATTTACCACATGGTTTCGTTTGGATCCCATTAATTCTGTGAATATTGAACGCGAGAAACCCTACCTCTATTGGTAAGTACTGAACATTTTCACACACAATGAAAATAAACAAAATCACTCACCCCCCTATTCTCACCACCTTAAGCAAAACAAATTTTATCTATAGCCCAGTCTTTCAAATTTCCAATCTTTACCTTTCTGTTTTGATTATCCCCCCTCTCCACATAATTTTCTGTTGAGTTTAATATTCATTAATTTTTTTTTTGCTCATCTCCTTGGAGCACAAAATTTTATGTTTTACTTTTCTAATTATTGGTTTCAATTTGTTTGATGCCACCCCTTTTTAATCAGCAGCCAGTCAGCCCAGCCCAATCACCTTCTATCCTCCCTCACCCCCACCATCCTTGGCATGTAATTTTCATTTTCGTTTTAATTAAATCATTCATCTTCACACTTCACTACACATTTTGGTTATTGCCCCCATTTCCCCATCTACTCTGAGCTCTTAACGCCTTTTTGATTTTTTGTACCTTCACATCCTTCAATTACCATACCCTACTCACACCTCCACATCCACCACTTAGCAATTTATTGTTTAATTTTTGTACATTGATTTTTATTCGATTTTTTTCGTTCGCTCGCTTTCTCTCTATTCATTCATTTTGTTTTTTCATTCTTTCTTTACAGTTTTAAAACATCAAAAGGTGTTGGTTATACCGCCCATTTTGTTGGTAATTGCCTGGTACTGACTTCGATGAAAGTTAAAGGCAAAGGATTTCAACATTGTGTAAAATATGAATTCCAACCCAGAAAGGTATGTATCCATGGGTGAAGAATGAGAACGGGGGAAAGAAGAAAAATATTTGAAGTGTTGTATTGTTACGGGGTTTTTACACTTCTCTTGGTTTGGTAATTAACAGCAATATTTTTGATGTGTTTTACATGGAGGGAATTTTTGAAAAAAAAAATCCACAGTGGAAAAAATTCCGGGACATGCTTTACAAAGTTTTTGACGCAAAGGACCAACACATCAATTAAAGTAGTATTTTTTATTATTTTTTTCATAGGGAATATTTTTACAGGAGTATTAGTGACGTAGATGTTTTAAGGAATATTTTGTGAAGGACTATTAGAGACGTGGATTTTTTATTAATTATATTTTTTTAAAGACCGTTAGAGGCCTGAATTTTTTAACGAATATTTTTCCAACGACTATCTGAGGCGTGGATTTTTAAAGAATATTTTTTCAAGGACTATTAGAACAGTTTTATTTTTTTTTTTCAATGTCCTAGTGAAGTTTGATCTTTTAAAGAATATGTTCTTTTAACAACTCCAGCAAGCCTTATTCTTTAAGGAATATTTTATTACAGACTCAAAAAATATTTTATCATAGACTCGAATAATATTTTTTCAAGGACTCAATCCTGGAGATTTTGAAAACATTTTTCGCAATCGACCATCTAAACCAAGGACTTAATTTTTTTTTAAAAAGAATTGCTTTTCAGCCGACAATCTGATCCAAATGCGTGGATATTTTTTACAAAATTTAAGATTTTCTTTGGAAGCATCTTCCTCTCTCCTTGTAACTATAACATCGACACGTTTTGAATATCAAGAATATTTATTGGCATTTGCTTCAATTAGCTGTCATCTCACTCACTATTAAATACCATTTTACCTCCATATTTGAGTATTAGCTAATTGTCGAGGCATATTAATGTTTATTCACTGGTAAACATTTCTAATTTGCAAAATTTTCATTTATATAGAATTACTAATTAGCATGAAGTAATAATGATGGTTAATATGCCTAATGAGCAGGCCTTGGACAATGAAAAGTTTCTTCCTCAAGGGAATACCAAATAAAATTCAATTAAAGAAACCTTTTAAAGGCAATTTTCGGAATTTGATACAATGGCAAATTAAATGTAATTGTGCACAGTTTGACCTTCAGGAAAAGTTTCGTTAAGTGGAGTATTTTCAATATTTGTTAATAGAAGATAGGAAAATCCGCCATCTTGAATGTGCTAATTTGTAAAGAAATTAAAGAACTGGATTGAAAAATTTAATTTATCATTAGAAAGATTGAAAATCATAATTACAGTCATTGTGGTTGTAAAATTGGGCTAGTGTCTGCAAAATATAAAAAATCGCTCGGAATTTGTATATGGGGAACTATGTAAAAATATTTTCCTATTTTTTTCTCACAAATATTTTTTTGAATATGACATCTAGTCTGGTGGAAATGTGTTGGACCTTTTTATGATGCCCGATAATGAGGTAGAATCATCACTTCATAAAAAAGTTAGTTATAGGAAAATTATTTAAAAAAAATATCTTCCGCTAGATATAGAAAAATATTTTTATATACTCTCCACATTGGTAGTTTAAAAAATTTAAATCTACGCTATTAATAAATTAATAGAAATAATTAAAAACAAAATCTAAACTTATTTTAGATCAAGAAATTTATTTTTTACAATTTCTGTCATTATTTATTGAAACTAAAATAATTTTTATATAATTATTATTAATAAACTTATTTTTGAAAAACTCCGCACTTAGGAAAATATATCTTTGAAAATGCAACGTTTATTAGTAGTCTTAGAAAAATACTTTTAAAAAATCATTGCTAGTTGTTCGCCCAAGGAGAAATATTTTTATAAAACTTTATTATACCAGTAAGAAAAGTAGTAAAGTTGGACGGGGCCGACTATGTGATACCCTTCACCACTGTGGGTATATTCAACAGATGAATCCCAACAGACGTCGAATTTTTGAAGGACCATTAACATGAAAATCGATCCATAAACATGTCATTCTGCAACCTATACTAATTTTTTCATTTGGTCAGATACGAACGAAAATATATATGGGACCAATATCTAAATCTGGACCGATTTTCAGTAAACTTAACACACATCATTCTACTCTTAATTCAGTACGCTATGCCAAATTTCGTGCAAATCGAAAGATATATTGGGAATTTCGGTACACCATTTACATTAAATCGGAAGAAAATATATATGGGAGCTATATCTAAATTTGGAAACTTAAAATTTGTCCAAATCTCGTGCAAATCGAAAGATATATAGGGCCTTTGGTACACCATTTACATTAAATCGGACGAAAATATATATGGGAGCTATATCTAAATCTGAACCGATTTTCACGATACTTAACACACATCATTCTAGACTTAATTCAGTACGCTATGCAGAATTTCGTGAAAATCGAATGGTATTTAGGGACCTTAAATTGGACTTAACACACATCATTTTCCCTTAATTCAGTACGATGTGCCAAATTTCATGCAAATCGAAAGATATTTAGGCACTTTGGTGCACAATTTACCTTAAATCGGACAAAAATATATATGGGAGCTATATATAAATCTGAACCGATTTTTCTCAATTTCAATAGGGTTCGTCCTTGGGCCAAATATGTGACCTATGCAAATTTCATCCAATTCGGATCATAAATGCGATCTGTACTTTGTTTACAATTTAACATGGACAGACAGACGGACGGACGCACATGCATAAATCGACTTAAAAAGTGATTCTATGCATATTCTCAAAAGGAACCATGTGTCTAACTCGTTTCCTTTTACAAACATATGCACAAAGACTTAATGCCATGTACCAGAGTGTGGTGAAGGGTATAAAAATACAGTCCATTTGTTGTGGAGGAAATAATTGTTTTTATATAATCCAGTCTCAATGGTGGTTCACGGAATATATTTTTTTAAATCCAGGTTTATTTGTGATCTAAATATATATATTTGTTAAAAATCATGTTTATTTGTGTTTTATTATGTTTTTTTGTTTTTGTTTGTTTTTGTTTTTGAATAAAAATGCACGTTTATAGGTCGTCCTAGGCATTTTTTAATTCACGATTTAATTACGCATTTAAAAAATACACATAAGCTTTGGGGTTCGTGCAAAATGTTTTAAAAGAAATCCAAGACTTATTCATGTCTTTTAAAATATTCTTAAAATTTCACGGCTTATTGAGGTTCTTGAAAAAATATACCTAACATTTTACTCCTTCTTATGGTCGATTAATCAAAATATGTCGCGCTTTCTTAAGGTGCCTGAAACAAAACATTCTTAAAAACATCCACGCCTTTTTATGGCCCCTGAAAAAATATTTTATAAAACACCATGACTTCTTAAGGTTCCTGAAGAAAATATTTGTTAAGACATCCACACCTTCCTAAGGTCCCTGGAAAAAATATTCTTTAAAAATCCCTCAATCCACATCTTTGAAAAAAAAAATATTAAATCCATACCTTATGTAGGTCCCTGAAAAAATGTTTATTTAAAGCCTTGAAAATATTAATCAAAAATCCAATCCTTTTTTAGCTTTTTAAAAAATAATTTTCTACAAAATCACGCCCTTTAGGCTTTGAAATTTTTTTAAAGAAAATCCTTGCATTTTTTGTCTTTGAAATTTTTTTTAAGAATCCCTGTTTTTTATATCCTTGAAAACATATAAAAAATTGTGCCCATAATAGGTCCTTAAAAAACAATTTTAAAAAATACCTGTCTTTTTATATCCAAAAAAAAACATTTAAAAAACGTTGCCTGTTTTAAGTCCTTGAAATATATTCTTCAAAAGATGCATGGCTTATTTCGGTCCTTTCAAGCCTGGATATTCTTCCGTGTGCAAGTTGTTGGTCATTGCAAAAAATATGTTTCAAAATATGGGTTAAGCAGAATTTTATATAAAATATATATTTCAGGAGGAAACACTGCATATAATCGCATCTAAATTGGCTCCCAAATTCCATTATGAAATTTCAATAAGGAAGTATATTTGGATTCCTAAGAGTATGTTGTATAAGTAATGACAATAGTTATACGCACAGATGAACAACAGGGTTACAGCTTTAAAATATTGAATGCTGACTCATGTTTTCAGCTGAAATGGATGACATTCTGATCTAATTCTGATATATAATTCCACATTCTCATACTCCTCATTAATTTTATTAATATGAACATTGTGCAGCATGAATGGCAAGAACCGGCCAAGTCTTATTTAGGTAGTTAAAAAGTATTCTTTAGACAATCCAAGCCTTACATAGGTCCCCAAAAATATTCTGTCAAGCCTCCAATCCAAGCCTTATTACGGTTCTTGAAAAAAAAAAATCTTTAAAAAAAATCATAGCTTTTTGGGTCCTTCCAAGCCTGGAACAAATATTCCTCTGTATGCAAGTTCTCGGTCATTGCAAAAACCATTTTTCGAAAAATCGGTTTAAAATTTTTTTCTTATGATTTTCACTATATAATTTTTTAATTTATTTTTAACATATATTTTAATATATTTTATTCTCTATTTCCCTTTTTTTAGTGGTATATGATTGCCATCGTGTATATTTACAATCGCTGGACAAAAAGCGAAATAAAGTGCCTAGTAAATGGACAATTAGCGTCCAGTACCGAAATGGCGTGGTTTGTTTCAACAAACGATGTAAGTAAATTTTCAAACCAGATTTAAATAATCTATATATTTAAATAAATATATTTTTTTTGTTTTTATATTTATATATTTCATTTTTTATATTTATGTATTTCATTTTTAATATTTATATATTTTATTTTCAGCCATTTGATAAATGCTATATCGGAGCAACACCCGAATTAGATGAAGAACGTGTCTTTTGTGGCCAAATGTCGGCCATATACCTCTTTAGTGAAGCTCTAACCACCCAGCAAATTTGTGCCATGCATCGTTTGGGGCCCGGTTATAAGGTAAATTATAATTTCATTATAAATTACAGGCTTATTTAAAAAATTGTAAATTATTTTAATTTTTTATTTTATTAACAAATCCTACACATAATTTTATTTACACCAATAACAACAACAAAAAATCGTACAAGCAAATTTTGTAATTAAAAAAATTCTGTTTTTTGCACTTTTTTCTCTCTTTCTATCTTTATGTCCAACCAAAAAAAAAACAACAACTACAATCAAAAATATCAACATCAACCAACAACTCCTATTAAAATATTCACCGCACACCAAACAAATCTCTATATATTTTTTCTCAAATAATGCTGAAAATATTTGAACACCGCCAAAAAAATAACCAATCAACAAATAAAAATGCGTTCTCCATGTATATTTGTTCGTGTGTGTTTGTGCGTTTTTATATTTCTATAAATATTTGTGTGTATACATGTGCCGTATTTTGTCCTGCTACACTTATTTATTTTTACGCCAAAACAAAAATGCAAACAAAATTAACCAAAAACATCGATACCACAATCTAATGCTGGATGGCCGCTAACCAAACACACCCAAACCCCAAAAACAACGCAATCAAATCATATTAAATTGAAACAAAAATCGAAACGAAACAAAATCTATACCAAAAAATGCAGTCGCAATTTCGTTTCGACAATGAGTGCTATTTGAACCTGCCGGACAATCATAAAAGGGTGAGTCAACAACAACAACACCGTCAAGTTCCCACACAACATAGTGCAGCCGTATTGTTAGCCGAACAGGATGCCCAATCCATCGATTGGGCTGATGAGAAATTAGATTTACAGGCAGCATTCGCTAAAATTCGTGCCGTTTTGGCTGCACGTAATGCCAATGCAAATGCTGTCTTGCAGGCATTAACAGGTGGTGGTGCAACAGCAACTGGCGGAAGTGGTGGTAGTGCTGTGGGTAACTCAGATACATCGACAGAGGTCAATGCGGCCACAGATAATACTGCCACATCAGCAAACAATGCGGGCCTTAGTGATAGTAGCAAAATAACTGACTCTTTGAGTCATATGCCCATTGGTTCTGCTTCATCGTCTTCAATTGGTATTTATTATGATTTGCATTTTTTGTTGTTTTCGTTATGATTTTAATTATTTTGTTTTTGTTTTTTCTGTTTTCCTTGTTTTTTATTTATTATTATAGATCGTTTAAGACGTTTGTCTTCCTCATCTATGTCCAGTTTGGAATATATGAGAGCTTTTGGTGGTGATACGGAAGAAATCAATCAATTAAAATCTGTAAGCATTTTTATTTTTTTATTTATTTATTCAAGTTTTATTTCGTATTGCTTTGTTATGCTTGATTTTGCCTGATTTTTTATATATAATTTATTTATTATTAATTTATTTCACACGTACTGAATATTTGCTCAGAACCTAGAAAATGCTAAGACTTAATTATTCTTAGTTGAATTTCTACTTCATAAAATAAGTGAAAACGTATCATATTCAAAGCAGTGCATTTCTTTGTGTAAAAGAATTACCGGTACTATTTTCCTTTATAATACCGCTAAAAATATCGCCAATGTACAGGCATTCCGATTATATTTCCAGACTGTTTATATACTTTTTTAAACACAATTCCTTTTCATTTCAAGACAATAATTTTAATTATATCCGAATTTATCTTCTTATGATAAGAAAATTAATTGATTAAGAAAATTATATTTACGAAAAGTTATATATTTTCCTTCCCTGTTCTAGGGCAAAGAATATTAATGACATCATATTCCAAGAGGTAAATAATGCATATCAATAAAAGCATCTAATCCTTTTAAAAGGACTTTCATATAATAAACCCAATTTTTGTACCGGTTTTGATCAATCGATTACACGTATATATATAAAGTTGAAATCAGCAAACTGTGCAAAGAACATGGAATACATTGTCTACTCAAGAGTCAACTCATAGATTTCTTTACGAACACTGTGTCGTATAAGTAGTGACAACATATATACGCCCTAGTGTTCCATAACAAAAGGATAGATCAAAATAAATTTGGAACCCCAACGTGGGATATTTTATTGATTTTATTTGTGGATCGTTTCTAAATTGCCCACGTATGACAGATGTTATCATTCGGTACATATGAAAAAAAAAAATAAGTGAAAAAATGAAACCTTAAGGTGTGGAATTTTCGTCAATTGTTCCACATAACCATTATCTTTTAGCTGTTGAATATCTTGTTAATTAACACATAATTAATAATTTTATGTTTTTATTGAAAAGGCTAATATTCTATTTATTTACTATGTCGTAAAAGTTATGACAATATTTATACGCCCCCTGCCCTGTAGTATTAATTTTTAAATTTAATAAATCATTTATTGTAACTGCAATATGAAATCGCCAAATCATATATTCTGTATACAAAAATATTTGAAATCCTTATGCTGAATATTTTATTGATTTAAGTTTTAGATCGATTCTGAATCTGCCAAATTCAAAATCGACAGCCTCTCCTAGCTTCTGTTTTTTGAGATTTCTTGTTTATTAGCTTCTAAAGCAATTATATTCATATTTTATTTTCTAATTAAGAGCGTCACTTTATTATATTCTGAATATTAATGTATTGTATAAGTAATGCAATATTTATACGCCACCCTGGACCATAATTAGAGGTTGAATATTCTGTATTAAAAATATGTTAAAATTTAATGATTTTAATGATTTAACTCAAATAATTTACTTCTTAGTTGCTGAAATTTTTCTTTAGAAAAAAATATTCTGGAAAAGTCGAAGGGAAAAAATTACTTTAATGAAATTATTCTTTAAAAAAAAATGAATTATTCTTTGAAAGGAATGAAAAAACAAAACTAAAAAGAGAATTTCGTAGATCCATTGCATTTTTTCCTTCTTAACCAGCCTTTTCTATAGTAATTTTTATGAATTGTTCTTTATTTCCCTCTAAATAAAAATTGTTTTGGTTAATTGTCAGATCTGCTTATCGTACAAGTAATGTCAAAAATTATACGTGTTGTAGTACATCAGACTATGATTCATAAAATATGAGTTCTTTGAAAATGATAATATTTTAGTTTGTTATATAGTTTTGTAGTTTCTTATATAAAATTCTTTATGAATGCAAAAATCAAATTATTAGATTTTTTAATAAAAAACTTACTTAGTCGGCAGTAGAAACACTATCAGTAGAATCATAGGTTTATAATTCCCTTCCTATTTTTTCTCTATATAATTTTATAGAGATAGGCAGGGTGTCGTATAAGTGTTGTCATTAATAATAAGTGCCTAGGCACTGACTATTGCAGCATTCATAATGTGTCGTATAAGTAATGACACTAATAATACGTACCCATCTACCAACTGTATCTTTTTATTTGACGTATGTTCATTAGAAACTACTTAAGAGTTAATACTTTATTGAGTCAAATCAATAGGCCGAATATGTATTTATAGGGAATGTAGGAAACAAATAGAGTCTCAGAATTTTTTTTAAATAGGTAATAAATACAAGACTCAATTTATTCAAGTATATCTATGCTTTTGGCTACAAGCTCTACATTTTACTTTTTTTAATTGAGAGCCAAATTCAGGTTCCAAGATATAATTTTATGAAGATTCACACGTTGTCGTATAAGTATTGTCAATAATAATACGTGCCTAGGTACCTACTGTTGTTGAATTCATACTGTGTCGTATACGTAATGCCAATAATAATACGGTTACATAAATATTGTTAGTCTTACTTTTCTGCAATTTATTAAAAATTGAGTATTTTATTGAAATCAGGGTCCTGTTACACCACCCTAAATCAAAATAATTATTTAAATTTAATTTCTTTTTAATAGTGTCATGAATGAGGTTTTGCCAAGCCCCATCCACCAAAGTATTTTTAATTTCATGTTTTATTATTGAACCTTATTATTTGTAGTCCGTTCTGCTCCATTAATTTAATTTCACATCTTAATTTTTTGTTTTTTTGGAGGTCTTTAATTTTTCCACAGGATATCTAAATGTTCCAACAAAAATATATCCCTGTTCAACATTTTCGTTACTTTGTTTTTAATTCTCTTTAGTCATTGTCTTGATTTTATCTATTTTATAACTTTGTTCGTTTTAAATCTTAATTTATTGTTTGTTTTATCGTTTGTTCATTTTGTGTCTCCAGTTTTTTCTCCGTTTCCCAATAAATGTTTTCATTAAGCTCTTTTCTTTATTTTCGTACTTTGTCCATTGGCTTATCCTTGGATTTTAGATTTGGTGAAGTAATGTTTTTGTGTTGCCAGTTTGCGATGTGATTTTTTTTATTGGAGTCTTAAACTATTTTATCGCTTTGGGTCATACACAACCATGGCCACTTTTGGAGTTAGCAGCAAACCAAAAGCTATACCAATACCACCACCAACATCACAATCAATACCAATACCATCTACAATTCAAATGGCAATGAAGCCTATCATATATATAATACACATACACACACGATTACACTAGAAGCCAACCAACCGAATAACCAGCCACCCAGCCAGCTTCCACTTCCACAAAAGCCAATAATAATGCTAGGGTAGAATTCGAAAAAATACAACGACTTCGGAAAAAAGAGTGTTGGTAGTAAACTTTATTTTATGGCCTCCACTTCACTTGATAAAATCACTTTTAATTTAAATGCAAATTTGTTTGATTTTCAAAAGTTCCGTTTTTTATTCCGCAATTTTTTTCTATTCTTGTATTTTATGATGTGAGTTCGCTATTTTTTTTAGAGCTGTACCATGCAGCTGCTTCATTGTAAATTTCCCCATTATCCTTAGAGACCATTGATTGCCACTGTTGCTCTCTATGGGTTAGCACTGGGTTTTTATCGGGTATTCTTTTTTTTAGTTCACGTTTCTATTTTATTTTTCAATTTTATAGATTTTTTTCTCTCGTTCTCATTGACGCTTTAACAGAAAATTGAGAAAATCGAACACACACACTCACTCACAAACGTGCAAGGACTTCAGTCGTTCGCTAACAACAGCTTCTAGTATGAAATCAGTGTTGTATTGTAAATCAATTAGTTTACTTGATTGATATGAGTGGGGAAAAAAGCTTTGGAAAAAAATGAAATATCCACACACACATACTCGTGTGTTTTACATTTATATACAATACATTTAAAGTGGCCATTGTATAGTGGAATATCTCCCTCTCTCTCCCTTTCGCCTTTGTGATTGGATATAGACCAGTATTTTTATCCAATATTTCTTTAATTATCGGAATTATTAGAGTGTAAACTATTGAAGCAACTACTAGTAGTACCAGCTGGCTGGCTGGTAAACCATTTGTTGGACCCTTATACCCATATCGTTGGCGCTGCTGCCTACTTCACGTCATTGTAAAAATTTTGAGATGTAGTTTTTTTCGCACTCCCTTTGCATATAAATTCCAAACAGATGCATTGCTTTATTTTTTGCCTCTTGATTATTTCTAAAACGTGGCAGAAAACACATGGTCGTGCCAGTATCGCTCACACACAATATTCGTTTGAACCACTAAAATCAGCACATTCAGGAAGAAGTGTGTTGAGCTATTGGATGGGTGTTTGTAAGAGTGAGAGAGCCGATGGTAGACACTTGAAAATTGATTGAGTGTAAATTTTAATACTTACACGCACCGCTGAATTTATAAGGGTGCTGCTTGATAATTTTTGCATTTTTGTAAAATTGAAAAAAGGATTCCTTGGTTGAAACAATTCTTTTACTGTAACACACTCATGGGATAGTAAAATAATCTAGGAATATAATATAACAAAATTAACAAACAAAGTGAGCTATAAAATGGGTTTTAGCCCATGACTCTGTAATGCGCACTTCATTCTCATTGATATATCCCGAAAATTTCGTCTGAAATATAGGAATATAGGAAGATAAAAACGGCGTAAAAATCACATAAAAAATTTAGGTCCGTTATATAACCTAAAAATAATTATCTACTTAAAATCGCTATTACCTAAAAATCATTATCTCCACTTTGAAGCAGAATCCTGCATTGTAATCGAGCCATACTGGATATTCCCGAATCTTCTCTACAATGAATATGTTGCAATTTTTTTATTCTACACATTATCTGGTTTAGTCATGCCTATAGTATAATCCGAACGAATTATGATAAAATGTCGCTTTTCATTTGACTAGTCAAATATGAAACGTATCAGTCCTCGTTTTGGAAATGTCCTCATAACATTGTTCGAGACACAATTGTACGACCGAATCTTGGCGAGCATCACTTTTCTATTAAT